GGCTAGGGTGGACAGATAAATTATCTGAGTCTGTCTGCTGAAAATCTGTTGTAACATAAAGATGATAAATGTGCTGAACAAAAAAAATGATTTTATTCAAACTGCCGCTCGGCTCGGTAAGTGTTTATAAATCATTACCCTTATGGATGTTATAAAACACTTACCTTCCTAAATTAATTTCTTATTTACTTTATTAATTTATTTGTAACTTTTCCAAATTACAAAATAATAATAAAAAAAAATTTCTTTGTTTGCATACAAAGGGTGATAACTCACTTATTTTGTGAAATCAAACACATATATTGTATTTATTGTTTGCCCGCTACTAGTGTTTTCAGGAATTTCTCTTGCATTATTATTTGCTTGAAATCCTTATTACGATTACTACTTGTTTTCTTTGTCAAAAGTCTATTTTCAAAACCCAAAAATGAAATATGTTTCCTGTTTCTTCCAAAGTCTCTTGTTTAGTTGTCCCACTATATGACCTGTTGCCAGTGTCTGCCGATATAATAGCATCTTTAACAGTTTTGCTCTTATATATCATTACATATTTGTTATGATGTGGATTTGGGGTCAGTAGAGACAAACGCCAAATAACACGTAACAATATAAAGGATTTTAATAGGTTGGTAAAAGGATACAGAAATCGCCTGAGTAGTCAACAATAACTAGCTCAGCTAAGAACTTCTCTGTCTATCTGTCTTAGTATTTATCGATCCACCCACGAGGATTGAATATGGCATAAGGCCGGTTTAATGTGGGTATCTCCGAGCCCGTAGGCTCGGCCAAAAATATAGCCTTTGAACCCGCCTAGACGGGTTCAGGCCCTGTCTACCTCCCCGGACAAAACCTTGCCCTTCGGCAAAGCTTCGTCCGGGTTCCTCTCTGCGTTAGCAGAGAGTTCGACAGACGTCGCTTACAGTCAAAGACTGTATCACGACTCAGCTAGACTCGGAGGTCTTACCCTCTCTGTCTATCTGTCTTAGTATTTTCGATCCACCCACGAGGATTGAATATGCCACTATTTAATGGTGGGTATCTCCGAGCCCGTAGGCTCGGCCAAAAAATATAGCCTTTGAACCCGCCCAGACGGGTTCAGGCCCTGTTTTCCCGGACGAAACCTTGCCCTTCGGCAAAGCTTCGTCAGCCTCTCTCTGCGTTAGCAGAGAAAGTCGACAGACGTCGCTATTAAAGACTGTATCACGACTCAGCTGGACTCGGAGGTCTTACCCTCTCTGTCTATCTGTCTTTCCTTGTCAACTGACATGCCACTATTTAAATCTTTGTTCACAGACGCAGACAAGTTCATTTTCAAGAGGGGTGGTAGGTTTCCGACACAACATTATTACAAAACAAAATCCTTGCATTTGCCTTGATAAAGTCCCTTAGAGGACGAAAAGCGTCGGCTAAGTTAAGTTTTACTTCTGCATTTATTCACAAACTGATTTTACAGATCGTAAATTTTACATACACACACAAGCATATATATATATATATATATATATATATATATATATTTCTGCAAATGGTATCTTTAGTGGATAGCCGTATTTGAGTAGATCCCCCGTTTTTGAAGCAATAGAATGTCGAATTAAGAAAGGATCTATCTATCTATCTATCTATCTATCTATCTATCTATCTATCTATCTATCTATCTATTTAAGTGTACATTAAAGTCAACACCCAGAAGCGACAGTCTGTTTCACGGTTAACGAAACTCTCAGACCACTTCAAATATTATGCGCCCTATCATTGATATTGAGCACTCATAAATAAAGCACACCGTAAAACGATATTTTAGCATTCATATATATATATATATATATATATATATATATATATATATATATTATATATATATATATATATATATATATATATATATATATATATAGAGATATATAAAGATAAAGATGAGAGAGAGAAAGAGATGCAGACAGATATAAAGAGAGTGAATCTATAAAGCATTTAAGTTGAGTTCAACAGTTTGTACTTATAAAAAAGACGTAGAAAGAAATAAAAAAAAATAATTTCATGTAATGTCCTTTTAGTTTCCCTAGAATCCATAAAAAATATCTTTTGTCAACTTTTGTTTTATACTGCTTCACTTTATGGTACTTTACAGATATTTCGCTTTTATATAAGCTGAAGTTTTCCGGTGTTCAGTCATTCAACTCACCGGCTCATGATGAATAGGATTATTTTTTTCTCCAAAAAGGTATTGTTTTATTAAAGTATGTGCATTTTAAAGATCTTGTTTTATAGCACACGTAATAGACTAACTATAACAGAAATATACTTAATAGAGAAGCAAAAACAATATTTGACTCGTTTAATACGATACTTGCTTTGTCGAAATAATAAATATGAATTTAAAAAATAGCTATGATTCTTCAAACGAAATCTTTACATAAAGCGTAAATATTTTACGAAAAGTTCATATTGTTATTCATCTTCTTCTATGTGCCTTGCTCTTTCAGGATGTTGGCGATCATGGCTCTCCACAATTTCCTCTCCTTTGCAGCTTGTTATATAGGAATAATTTGTTGCTGCCGACACTTGAGTCGGAAGATAGATCGCCAATGAGCAAACACATGCGATCCCATTATTGAATTAAGTAGACCACGTGACCATTAGGGAGACGCATTAGTAAAAAGTCGCCTGACGTCTAAAGGATCGCTATTTCTATTCTATTCTCTATTACTATTCGGATCTGCACTTCTAATCTATTGCTATATGAACCGCAATTCTCTACTCTATTCACTATACGATTTTTCTTTTCGGATCACTATATGGATTACTGTTCGAGTGATTATTATCGAACAGCTACTATTAGCGCGAGTGCTATTCGAAGGCGTTTGACACCAGCATTGTTCAACGGCGTTAATATAGTTCTATCTGCGATTACAAAGTCTCTACTATAATGAGAATTACGACAGTGGCAGCGAGTATTCGTTGAAATTACAAAACAGCCCTTGATAAATTTTATCTTTTTGTTATATCTCTTAAACACTGTTCTTCTATATATTTGCACAAACACGCTATCTATTTTATCTGTTATTTCCCTCTGACCCTCTTGCCTTCACACCGTCTTGTGAGTATCACATTTTCCAAACCCACTTTCCTCATTATATAGGTTATCTGTTTTTACTCTATCCCTCTTGCCTTCAATCACTCCTATGAGTATCAGATTTTCCAAGCTCTCTTTCCTCATTATGTAGGTCATGCGTTGTTTTCATCTCTCCCTCTTGCCTTCAATCTGCCCTGTGTGTATCAGCTTTTCCAAGCCCTCTTTCTCATTATGTAGGTTATCTGTTTTTGCTCTATCCCTCTTGCCGTCAATCTCTCCTGTGTGTATCAGATTTTCCAAGCCCTCTTTCCTCATTATGCACCTTAGAAATTTCAATTGCTTATTTACCATGTTAAATATGAGTTCTTTTTGTTTCCAATTTCTCTAAAACCTCGTCGAAATATGTTCTCAGCATCCTTCTGTAGAAACACGTTTTTATCGTTTCAAATCTCCGTGGAGATTGTCGAGCATTTACTCCTATATAGGAAGATTGATATAACGAAACAATTGAGTATTCTTTTCTTTGATTTTAATGAAATTTTCCTGTTTCTTAATACTATGCTTAGCTTTTGGAAGGCCCCTTTCTCTAACCCAATGTGCCTTCGAATCTCTATGTCACGTTTCATGTCCTAAAACACTTCCAGATATTTAAATTTATGTACTTGTTTGATTTAGTTATCGACAGTTTGTAATTTGTATGTTGGGATTGATGTGGTCTTGCTGACAACCATGCATTCTGTTTTCTTGTAACTGAAGTTTAGTCCTTTCTTCTTCCTTTCCTTCACTACATTCTAGAGGAGTTATTGTAGTTTTTTTTCTTTTTTTTACCAATACTGTGTCATCTAAGTATCTTACGTTGTTAAGATTGTGGGCATTAGTAATGCATTCTAGTAGAACTTTTAATTCTCTCAGAATCTCATAACTGTTTAGGTTGAATAAATCCGATCAGAATACACACCTTACTATTTTTGTACATTTATTGAATTCATTTTCGATTTCTATGCAAGTGATTTACTGCCAGTATATATTCTGGATTATTCCAATACCCTTGCTAAATATCTGAATGTTTTTATCGGTTTCGTCCCATGTAAGTCAGAAAAAAAAAACACTAATGGGTTACTGGTTGTGTAAGCATTAGGAATAGAAACATTAATAACGAGGGGGAAAATAATAGAGTAATCAGGAGGACTTTAGATAGAGGTTGACGTTGTATATAAACTTTTGCAGATTAAATATATAGCTTGATAGTATGGAGCCGGAAGGAAACTCCACAAGCGAGAAGCACATGAAAAGAAACTGTTAGCATAGAATTTAGAGTTACATATATTCCAGCTCAACTGTAAATTGATGAGATCTCGACGCTAGTTTAGTAATGCGCTTAAATAAAAAAAAAAAAAAAAAAAAAAGAAACAATTTTAGGTACCATATCGAAGTTCTCGTCCGAACAATTAACATGAACGTATTTATAGAAAAGACACAGAGAATCAACCTTACAGCGGTGGGAAAATGAATGAAGCCCAGCCACCCGATCAGGACCAATAATTTACAACAGTTATTTGTGACGTAATTTATCAAAAGTTATTTAGGTTATATTACTAAATCATGCACAAAAGGTTGAATGTATCATTATAAACTTTTAAACTGAATAAGTTTACCTTCCCTAAAAACCAGGATTCAAAATCTTGGAGCTTTATTTTGGCTCTAACAATAACCACCGGCGTCGGTTAGAAACATGTTAGCCACAAAGCAGACAGAATACGACATGTGTTATAAATAATCAAGAGTAGTCTCCCTTTGTTTTAAAACTCTCCTCTTTGAGAGAGTTATTTTAAAATAAGACTATACACGAACCTTGTATTTTCAGTTGAATAAAGCTTTCTCAAAGCATACACATTGCGTGCATTTGTCACTACAATATGTATTCACTTACCTGCGTCACTATCGTAGAACATTCCGGCATTTTTCCAATCGTAGACTTTGATGAGATTCAACATTGCCAGATTCACCTCGTTCTTGTCTGGTATCATCTGGAAGATCGCATTGTTCTCTTCGAGACTGACTGCAGTCGTAGAGATGTATGGAATCTCAAGTTCTTCAGTGGCAATCGAGGTGCCACGGTTAAATGGCCCAACAACGGTGTGGATATTCTTCGCTTGTAAGATAGAAATCGCTGTAAAGTAAAAAGAAAATGAACTGATAATAATAATAATAATAATAATAATAATAATAATAATAATAAGCAGACCTTTGACAAACTTCAGCAGATAAAAATCTCTCCCTCTCTCTCTTTCAGTCTCTCTACAGTGGACGCCATATATTTGAGAACATTATCTTGCCATGAATCGAATACAAACTAACGTTATCATTAGCCGCATGAGCCAAATTTAACATCCTCATTTTTATTTCATTCTACTCGTGGCATTGACCATTCATCAATACAATATTGCAAACCAGATGAGGAAAAACGAAAATTAGCGTAACGCTTATCGCGTGCAGATACCTACGGTGAAGAACACTAAATTCACATCGACTGTGTGCATGGTGGTGTTGGTGGTGGTGAGGGGGGTGTTGGTCATAAAGGTCATGGCTCCCTATTTCTTCCGATCTGGGTAATCTACTGGAGATTCTGAGTTTGACCCATTTATTTAATCTATGGGGTAGTCTTTTCTTCTTCCACTGACCATGTCTAGAACGCGGACAGTCTATCCCCGTAGATTAAATAAAGTGTCCAGTTCAGAATTTCCTGTAAGTTATCCAGATCGATATACACCATATGATGGCAGGAGAACACAACGGCTGAAATGCTGTGACAACAACAATAATGATAAGGACAATAGTCTGAATATAAATAGTCTAAATAATAATAATTCGCCGTAACGTTCGCTCTCTGACCTAGCGACCCGGGTTCGAATCTCACCCCGGTTGACTTTTCAGGAAGGATATTCCAGATGTTAGCAGTCTGGAGGGTGACGACCTCAGCGTACAGCACCTTTGGTAAGTGTCTAACTATACCACGCGTTGACCCAAGCCTTCTGAGTGAAAATGAGTAGACGGAACACTTGGATTGTCGATAGCTGCGATAGCACGAAGTCACAAGTCATCCTGACCGAGTGTTTGAGGGTGCTGGTTTTGTTCAGATTGCTGATCATTCTAGATAACCGGCTCTTTCCCAGAAACTGTAACTAAGGTCTGCTCAGCATAGTTACAGTATAAACCACTGGTCGACTCTGTGGGTACTGAACGAACAAAAAATGTATCTGAGCGAGCCTATGAATCAGGGACCGGCAAACCGCCCTAGTAGAAGAATATGAGTGGTATATATATATATATATATATATATATATATATATATATATATATATATATATTTGAAAAGTAAATCTGTAACTATGTTTTAGTGGTTAAGCAAAGACTCTTCAAGTTTCAGGAAAGCTTGATCTACGCAGATAAGATACTCAAATCGAAATATTTCTCAAATGATTAAAAGATATACCAGGATATATAATCGGCGAACATAAACTTAACAAACGACGCTAAGCAGACAAGAATATGTTGATGATAGATTCAGAACCCACAATAAAATGTTTATTATACATATCTGAAGGAAAATGTCTATCATATATAAAGAAAATTATCTATCTATCTATCTATCTATCTATCTCTCTATATATATATATATATATATATATATATATATATTTTTTATTTTTTTTTTTTAATAAAAAACAGACCACGTTAAGATTTCATGTTATAAGCTATATCACCATAACCCCTTTAACAGGGTTCTGGATCATCAGACTTTTGAAATAGCTTATAAAATGGAATCTTAACGTGGTCTGTTTTTTATTCAAGCATATCTGCTCTGAATTTTACATTGAGCTCTCTGGATATCCTCCTCCTCGTGTCTACCCATACGGATTACCTAAGTTTGCATAAACTGTATATATATATATATATATATATATATATATATATATATATATATATATATATATATATATATATATATATATATATATATAATATATGTATGTAAAAGACATATCAGCTATTACCAATGATCAACCCGAGCTGGGAACCGTAATGACAGGCGTATCACCACCAACCATACTATCCCTTTCTTTGAAAATACCTTCAGGGCCGCTCTCAGGGAGAAGAAGCAGAAGAGGAAGTACTGCAGTGCTATGCCATCGAGCCCAGACCGGACTTTCATCTACAAATAATGCGACCGTGTATGCCTGTCCCGCATTGGACTTATCAGTCACAAACGTGCTTGCAAGCGACGTGTATTTATTTATTTTTTGGGAGATAATAATAGTTTAGTGATACCAGTTTTACTAATTAACCCGTACCTGTGGGAGAAGAAATGGATTCATACTTTTCAAAAGGGTATTTGTGTGTAAATGAATGTAAAGGAAATTGAAACTAGGCTCGTCGACTAAAAATTCAGAGCCATTCTCCATTAAACCACTCGCATATCTAAGCTTACAACATTTGATATTCACAAGCAGTCACCCATCTAGGTACTAACCAGACTCGACGTTGCTTAACTGCAGTGATTCTACTGGAACCTGTCTTTCAATGTGATGCGGCCGTAAGTCACAAGATAGTTATTTTAACGGCAGCTTACAAATAATATGATCGATTAAAAGTCATAACAAAACTATTTATTTTGTTTCTTCTAGCCGACATAATGGAAAAAAAGTCAAGATAAAGTACACAGTCAACAAAAAACTGTACATCATGATGTTAAAATATAAATAGAAAAATTCTTATTCTGGACCACTGTTTTGAATTACACAAAGACTGCTGTAAAAATCGTAGGCTTCCACCATATTTACCCACAACCTGTCCATCCCTTATTCAGCCCGGCGACTAAGGAATACAGCGATATATGAAAAGTTCGCCAACATTTTTTCATGAAGCAGAGGTTATACATGGGACATTTTTTGAAAAAGTTTCTAGTCATTCAGAATATGAGAAATATTTGTTTAATTTTCCGATATACCTTTATGTGTATAACTTATTGAAGCAGATGTTACACTTATGAAGCAGATGTTATACAAGGGACATTTTTTGAAAAAGCTTCTAGTCATTCAGAATATGAGAAATATTTGTTTAATTTTTCCGATATATCTTTATGTGTATAACTTATTGAAGCAGATGTTATACTTTATTAAGGGACAGATGTTATACATTCAGGACATTTTTGAAAAAGCTTCTTTATGTCATTCAGAATATGAGAAATATTTGTTTAATTTACCGATATATCTTTATGTGTATAACTTATTGAAGCAGATGTTACACTTATGAAGCAGATGTTATACAAGGGACATTTTTTGAAAAAGCTTCTAGTCATTCAGAATATGAGAAATATTTGTTTAATTTTCCGATATATCTTTATGTGTATAACTTATTGAAGCAGATGTTACACTTATGAAGCAGATGTTATACAAGGGACATTTTTTGCAAAAGCTTCTATATCTTTATGTGTATAACTTGTATATTGAGTGGATAAGAGATGAATTACTGAATTATTATTATTACGTTGACTCAACTGTTTCAGAATATATATAATCCGATAATATTCTGGAAATTCTGCTTAAAAATTGGTGGTGTATCTGTATCAGGGTTTTGTAAAGATATACAGAACGTATCTTAACGCAGAAAAAAAATACTTACTTCTGTTAATTTCTTCATAGTTAGTGCTGCGTCGGGGATGATTTAAGTCAATGACGTTGATATAATGTGTTGCGTTGTCTTCTTGAACAGCAAGTTTAAAAACAGGAGAGAAATATTCGTAGACGCCTGTTGAAATGAAAAGAAAATGACATTGTTAAAGACAAAATGTGAACGTCTTTATTGATATAACAAGGAAATATTAGATGTAAATTTCTGCGTAGTATGAAGAACTTAGTTTATTTGCAAACTTTGAAAGCAAATGACAGGATTACATCGTGGAGCGAGTAAACAGTTTTCGAAGTGTTATCAAAAACTATCGGGACAGTTGCTATATTAAGGTAACTAACGTGCGCAGAGTTAAGCGCCATGGCAAAGATTGACCTTAAACTCTATCGCGCACACGTTGTATAACGTTGTTTATACCAGTGTCATGAATAACCAAGAGTAGTCTCCCGTTGTTTTCTTACTCTCCTCTTTGAGAGAGCTATTTCTGTTTACTGGGACTATAAACGGAGACAATACTCGAACCTTGTATTCTCAGTGGAATAAAACTTCCTTAAAGCCTACATCTACGTACTTTTTGTCATTACAACCAGTGCTTGGAACGAAAACTTGTAGAGTGTAATCGTCTCAAGATACCACCGAAATTCATTCAGAGATCTCGGCTTGTGCAGCAGTTTCGGTGGCCAAGACCAACATTCCCCAGGTCCGACATCCACTATGTCCCACAGATTTAACCCTTGCGACTTTTTCCCCCCTACAGCACCCTACTGAAAATAACAAGATTTAAAGACGTCGAGCGAATCCAAAAGAACGCTCAAAGGCAGCTGCTCACGATTCCAAAAGAGAAATTCCAGGAATACTTCCATTAATGCAAACGACGCTGGATAAAGTGTGTGGCTTCAGAAGTGGGCTACTTCGAAGGAGATTAAATGCCGAATTGATATGTGTTGTAGTTTTATTTTTATAATACAAGTGCCTATACTTTTTGATGAGACTTCATAGACTATCATATATAATTCTGATGTCAGTTAAATGTCATCAAACACTGAAAAACAAAGATTTCTCCCATTTTGTAAGCCTCTTAGGTTCAGTTTGTCGTACATTATCGAGCCTTCATTTTAGAGCTAGTTCACATGCTTCCAGAAACGAAGGATATCGATTTAAAGCAGGTCAAACTACATATTTTAAAAAAAGTAATCTACAGGGTACTCCGAAAGTCTTGTCACCTGCAATCTGTAGGCGCTCGTGTCAGTCATATGAAATAGAAAAATATGATATGATATAGGGGTGACATGATGTCGGACCACCCTCTAGTTTCCTCGATATACCTTGATTATATTGCTGTTACAGATAAAAGATGTTCATTTTTACGCTGTTGTTTAAAAACAGATAGTGAGACATGTTAAGGGAAATTTATTCATGTACTGGACGTTCGAAACTTAACAGAATTTAATCAAGAAGAAAAGTGTTTAAACTACAGGTTGGCCTGAAAGTCATATTACCCCTACATATAAATTTTCCGTCTATATTTCTGAGATGAGGTATTATGTAGACTTTTAGTTAGATCCAGTGACAGGACCCAAAGAGAGTGAGTTCAATACCCGGTTAAGGCAGTGGGGAACTTAGAAAAGTGAATTGACAGGATAAAACTGACAAGTGACATCCATTAAACATGGCACGTAGAACTAGAACAGTCTATCCCAGTGAGTGAAATAATGGGTTCAGTTCGACATTCCAACCACCTGAAAAAGGCCGGAGCGTACAACGGCTGAAATGTTGTAATTAATATGGCGACAAAGATGAGGACAATAGTCCGAATAATGTAAATAGTTTATATAAATTTTCTCTTTTAGATAGCTGACACGAGCTCCTACAGTTTGAAAGAGAGATAAGAGTTATATGAATTTCGCAACCCCTCCATATTTTGTAAAAGTTATACTAATATTTGTAATGCATTTAGAAAAGTCTCATTCCAGATTCCGCACCCACATCTGAACCTCTCGAAAATATGCTATTTGCCCGTTGAGTTTTATTTTCCAGAAAAAACAGTATTTTTCATAGATGGACAAAAATATACCGTATTACTTAAAAGTAAAGGCCCAGTAGTTATCCGATATTTTTGAACTAGCAGAATGACACTTGGTGTATGTAATTGATGCTTTTTACAAGATTGAATTTCATTTCTTGCCAGAAGATTGTTCCTTCAATAGATAAAAACAGCTTTTCATCTGTACGTCTATTTTGTTTAATGGGATCTTTTAAAAATGCACTTTAGTTAATCGCAAACATTCGGAATGCGATCATTTCAAATTGTGGGAGGAATAGATTTTCGATGCCATTAGCGCGATGTATTTACCACCTGAATCCAAAGATGTGATATAAAATCTCGCGTATCTCAGATAAGTCGTAGTGACTTAAAACAGTTTTCTAGAAGATGACACAGGGCTTCGGATATATATATATATATATATATATATATATATATATATATATATATATATATATATATATATATATATATATATAGAGAGAGAGAGAGAGAGAGAGATAGGGTGTATACTTCTATAAAATTTAGGGCGGGTTCCTCACACGAAAACTAGGAAAAAGTCAATACAAACATATATCCGCAAATATTTCATTTTTGAATTATTACGTATAAAGAAAGTTTACATCAGATGACAGTGTGTTGCCAGATAGGTTAGGTTACATTTATCATTCGTGTATATTTGTGATTAGTCTGTTTGTGGTGTTCATAGTTATTCTGAGACAAAATTGATGTGCTCATCTGAAAATGAAATTTTTACTTATGAAGTGAAAAACTTTAAGGTGCAATTTTAAAATTTTATGACGCAAAACGTCAAGGTTAGTAACTAAGTTATCGAAATGTTTAAATATTTTTTTGAAAAAAACTATATAAACTATTAGTTAAAACCTAGATATTTTAAAGTACCTACTTTAATGGGGCTAAGTTTGTTATAGGTGCGACTACGCATGCGCACGACTACACGTGCGTTGGTAATTGTAACCATAACTTGTTTCATTTTTTTATCTATCCGATTCCATTTAGATACGTTTTTTTTATTTTTCTTTCTATCACTTTTGGTAGAAGATACCCCATACCGTGATGTAGAAGTTCTGCCAGAAAGGGTGAAATATTGTAATACCGCGGGGGAGGTGGGCGCGAAAATTTGCTGTGGATGACCTTGCGATCAATGCACTCTCGAAACATTTTCGTCGTAGTGAATTGGTTTTGCGTCAAAATTTTTTGCCATTTTCGTTACGGTAAGCAACCAACGCAGTTGATGTATTGTTTGAATTATATATATATATATATATATATATATATATATATATATATATATATATATATATATATATATATATGTAGGAAAAATGTTATAATTGTTACAAATAGAGAAAATGTATATTTTGAGAAAGAGAGAAATCACAAACGATTTTGTTTATAATGTGTATCATATACATACATATATATTTTATTAAAAACATTTTTATGTTTAACATTCTTTTTTATAGATACAAGTATTTAAGTAAATGCGCTGTTTATAATAAACAGTATTAAATAACATTTACCGGCCTGAATGTCCGAGAAATTTTCATAGAAAATATTCGTCCTTTGACCTTGCCTACCGAACGCTTCTTTTGTGGCCGATTGTTAAGGCACGTCAGCGTAAATGACGGTTCCGTATAGGATGCAGGTTCGAATCCTGTCAAAGGACGAATATTTTCTATGAAAATTTCTCGGACATTCAGGCCGGTAAATGTTATTTAATACTGTTTATTATAAACAGAGCATTTACTTAAAATACTTGTATCTATAAAAAAGAACGTTAAACAAAAAAATGTCTTTAATAAATAAATTGTCGGACTTTGTCCATTTCTTAATATATATATATATATATACATGTATATATATATATATATATATATGTTTGTTTAGTCTTTTTCATCAACTGGAAGCGATGGCAATGAGACATATGCGTGCACATATAACACTTATTCTCAAAGAAAATTTCAGTATCTCTGTTTATTCATGGAAAAATCATTTTCCCAGAGATAGGCAAAAAAAATTCAGTAATTAATCTCCCCACTCTTTCTCTCTCTTCTCGCACACACATGCACACACTCACAAGTACATAAAGTAAAGTACGACATCTTTTGGAATGCACATACAGATCTCTAAAATCATTTGTTCGGTCTTCCTGCAAATGTTAAGAATCGTACGATGCGTGAACAGAAACTATCATCTTGGTTTATTCTGTCAGAAGCGAGACACCACATTGTGAATTTGTGTATTGTGTAATCATCGCATTTTCAAAGACTTATTAACTAAATTCTTCACTGAAGGGGATTTGGGCAACGATTTGCAACACACATGTAAGTCAGTTCTGCATCTACAGACTTGATTTAACTCCTGGCAACTTCTGGCTTTTCGCAAAGTTAAATCGCAGCTTAAAGCGGGTTATTTTAGAGGATGTACTAAAATAATGAAGATTCGACGAAGCAGCTGAGGGCTTTGTAGGCTACGGTGAAAAGTAGAAGAAACGATGTGATAAATGTGGGAGAGTCCAATAGGAATATTCTGTGGGGGGGAGAAAGAGAGAGAGAGAAAGAAAGAGAGAGAGAGAAAGAAAGAGAGAGAGAGCGAGAAAGTGAGAGAGAAAGAGAGAGAGAGAGAGAGAGTTTCCAGATGATATTTCTCCGTTAATACTAAATGTCCGGTAAGTATACGCTGTGATAAAAGTGTGAGAGTCCAATAGGAATATTCTGTGGAGAGAGAGAGAGAGAAGAGAGAGAGAGAGAGAGAGAGTTCTCATAGTTCTTAGAAATACTGTGCGCCATATTGCTAATCAATTACCTGCTATTCAATAATAATTGGAAGAAGAACAGTAGAATTTAATTTTCGGACTAGCGTCTCAAATCACCTCCATTAAAATCAACTCTATTCAAAAGAAGACAAAACACAAGAAAAAAAAGACGATCTCTTTGAAAATTGTTATTGCATATCTACGGACGATAATGGCTATGTCCTCATACAAATAAATACAGAAGTAAATACTGTATGTTGGTCTGTAGTTGGTTATTCGTCTCCAGCTGTGCTGGTCAAACTCTCTGCCTTCGGGCAAAGAGAAACCCCAGATGAGGCTATGTCGAAGGGCAGGGTCTCGTCTCGGGAAATAGCTACCCGACCCCGTTTTATACGGGGTCTAATGAGAATTTTGCCCCAGCCTACGGGCTCGGATACCCCACACTAAATTCGGCCTTGTGCCACATCTGATCGAGTGAGACTCTCGGCAGATATCCTACAGTTGATGATGCATTGGGGAACTCACTTGACGTACATCTAGCAGTTGACGACTTCTATTCGCCGCTGGCGAATCTTATATGTGTTGTTCTTGTCTTAAGTATCATCGTTCATTACCAACCTTCGAGTAATTATTCTATTTCCTAACCTTTCCTAGGTTACAACAGATATAAAAATGTGACAGCGAACCACATAATAAGTGTTTGTACCAAAATATCACATAAAGAGCGTAAGTGTAACCGTGAAGGATTGGATGACATCGGAGTAAACCAGTACATCTGAAGTATAATGGTAAAGATGGTAAATTATCTGGACCTTGCAAAATGTCTGAAGAAATGGTGAAACATAAGTATGATTGTTGCGTTCGTAATTATCGGTACATTGTAAGACAACCCCCCCCCAAAAAAAAAGTAAGAAAAAGGCATGATCAGGAAATCAAAGAAACACATGAATTAATTCTGACGAGAGATTAATAAAAAAAATGCGATACAAAATTATTGCAGAAATGAGGAGGAAACTGGCTGTCAATTACACTTCAGTTTAAAATACCAGAACAAGTGAAATAGAGAGAGGAAGAAAAAAAGAAAGAGAAAGATAGAGAGATAGGCTGTGTGCGTGCGTGTGTATATATGCGTAAGAGAGTATTTTATGCGATCAAAAATCAGTGTTATAATTAATAGTTGTATCGATATTGCGCTTCATTTCAATTACCACATAAGCATTTCTATATTTACAAGTCTGATGAAGTCCTTCGAGAGGACGAAACGTGTTGTGCAGAATTCTTCCAGTTTGTCATTCATTTGCCTAACATTGTTCTCATATATAGAAATTATGTATCATATTCTACTACATATACGTATATATATATATATATATAAATTTTAATTTTTGTTCCTTCGCTTAGTTTAAAATTAAGGTAGATTATATTTAATTTGTTGATCAGAGTAAAGGCCACAATAAATTTTTCACTCGCCAGTAATTTACAATCGCCTGATGAGATGCATTGATACGCATTGAAACACTACTGCCATTGTGTAGCGATTTTTACTTGTTTTCATTGTAATATCGTAAAATAAATATATAGGTTTTCCAGTATTTTCTCTCTCCCTATTTCTCTCTCTCTCTCTATATATATATATATATATATATATATATATATATATATATATATATATATATATATATATATTTATAATTATCTATCTATCTATATATGACACATAATGAGAAGGTCACCTATTTTACCATTTCTTTCACCTATATAATGATTTGATAGAAAATACTGGGAAACCTTCTTAAATGATTTTCTTTTATTTCTTCAGAGACGTGTTCTTTATTAATGAAGAAAACTTGCTAAAAAATGACATGTCTTATTCAATCAATCCAAATGAACACGAATCCATTTTCAGAGATTAAGTGTCTCCGCTTCATAAATCTTATCTATTGTCGTCTCCTTGATAATCACACATCATCTAAAAAGTAAATTTGATCTCAAATAGAAATATGAATAATTCAATCGGTATTCTGATGCGGTCATTATAACTAATGGTATTACTATCGACCATTTGATGCATAGATTGTGGTATTTTCCAGGAGATAAAAATGGATGATAAATATATGTCAAATTTTATTTATCACCGTCGTTGTCAGTTCTATTAGGTCAATGGAAATAAATTTTCCTATTTACTGCAATAAAATCATGAGGTACGCAACGAAAGTTGAGAGACATAAACTGACATCTACCTTTTACCTAAATGTCTTGGCGCTAAGAAAATATTCTCAAACTTGAAACAAATATTAAGCCGGGGTATAGAGAAGGAGGTAAAATGGTACTTGATGTTCTTTCTTTTCCACTGAGTGAAGCCTAACATTTTAATGCTAGCTGATAGCACACTTTCCGTCCACCAATTGCACGTATAATGCATCCAATGACAAGCTCGAATCGGTGGCAATGTCAGCGATGTTGATTGTTTCCGGAATTTTACAATTATTAGTGGATATCAAGAGATATTAGCTCTGGGATACACAGCAGTGCATTTCGTAGATTAAATTCTGGTTCCATCGTTGGACTTGTTATCAAATAGGACGATAATTAATATCTTTTGTATTTGTTGTTAAAATAAACCAATTATTTCCCATTTTCTATAACAATCTGGTGAAGAAATTATTGATATAAGAAGACTGCCTTTTGTTTTGTGCTAAACATGTCAGAATTTGTTTTAATTTTTTCTCGCAATGCAGGAAAATATGTTATGAGCGGCTCAGGGAACAAATGAAATTGACGAAACCTGGTGTTACCTATAAGCCTAGTTATTAGCAAAAGGAAGAGCCCAACATGCAAATTAAAAATTGCAGATAGCGAAATTAAATAGGTGAAACAATTTAGATATATAGGAAGCATATTAACAGAGAACGGAAAGTACAAGATGGAAATCAAAAGGCACAATGGGATAGTTAAAGATGACTTCAAAAAGCTGAGCAAAGTATTAAGAAATAGAGAAATATCATTAGAAACAAAGAAACTAGTAGTTAACTGTTACATCGTTTTGCATGGCAGTGAATGCTGGACAATCTTCTCGCAGATGAAGAAGAGACTTGAAGCAACAGAAATCTGGTTCTACAGAAAGATACTGAGAATACCATGGATCGAACATATAAGCAAAGACGAAGTTATAAAAACAATAGTAATAAAAAGACACTTCTATTTAACGTCAGAGAGAAACAGTTGAAATTTATGTAGAACATAATCAGGAAAGAGGGCTTAGAAAATTTGATACTCACAAGACAGTTTAAAGTTGAGAGAGATAAGGGAAAGTAACGTGGGCAACTTGATTGAATGGATGGCCGTGCATGGCTTGGGAGAGATGGCAAAAAGACAAAAGTTATTAAGAGCTACTAAGGACTGGACATTGGGGAGAGTAAAGAGTGCTTGGGAAATCTCATACTGCAGGACCGATTGAAGGTAAGAGCGATAAGGAAAAGCAACGCAAATTCTACCTAGTGAGCTTTAGAGCCATGATCACATTAGCCAGCATATATTCATTCAAGCCTATTTGGTTGAATTATCTGGACATATTTTATTCTTCTTGAATTATCAGAGAATTCGAAATGATTAAAATAAAAATAAATATACATATTATGTCCATATTATTCAACCAAACACACACATACATACATACATATATATATATATATATATATATATATATATATATATATATATATATATATATATATATATATAGATAGATAGATTACTGTTTATTTAATAGGCGATATTAGCATTTGCACTACAACAGTTTCAAGGTAAGACAAATTTTGTCAGTAGACACTTGGATGTAGAGAATGATTAAGAAATTCGTCGACGGCCTCCATGGATCGGGGTCAGCATCCTCACACCTTATTCCCTTTCTCTCCCTCCACCCTTGGTGGCTATGGCGGAGATGGTCTTGAAGTCCCTGCCTATACCTGAAATAGTAGTTTAAGGAGATATTATCTGACAGTCGAGAATAAGCTTGATCCTTATGTAGTTCTCTATATTCGTGGCCTTATGCCAGACGAATATACGCTAACTAATGCCAAAATATGACGGACAGAATTTGTTGAAAAGCATTAAAAGTATTTGCACCGGTCAATTTAAAAGAGCTTCACCGTTTCAAATCATACTTTTTTTTCCTTAAATCCATCATTTGTAAAGTTAATATTTCTAAAAAAAGCAAAGAGTACCAACATTTTAGGTAATCTCAGCCCTCTCCTATGGCAGTGAATGCGGGATAATCCCCTCACAGATGAAGAAGACACTTGAGGCACCAGAAATATGGTTCTAGAAGAACGGTAAGAATCCCATGAAATGCACATGTGAGCAACGGGGAAGTTTTAGGGAAAATGGCAATGCCAAAAAAGGACAATTATACTTGAAATCAGAAAGAAACAACTGGAAATTATACAGAATATAATGAGGAAAAAAACTTGGAGAATTTGACACTCACATGAATGCTAGAGAGACAGATGAATGTATGGATTAAGATATCGAACAAGTTTGTGTAAATGGTTGTCAGAACTGGGATTATGAAAGATAGGCAAAACACAAGCTTTAATAAGGACAACAAAAGACATGATGTTGTTGAGAGTCATAATCAGCCACGCCCTTAATCGAAGAATAGGAAATTCATTATTAATATATTCACCTACATTCATCAGCCGTTTTTGTGTCCGAGCGGTTAGGTACGTTAGATCCAGTTACCATTATATCTAAATTACTAGTTAGTCAATGTTGTAATCAACAGTGATCAGTATAATACACGTATTTCTCTGTGGTGAAGTTGCATTTTAATTTGACCATCCTAGAATAAGATTGTCGATACTATTAGAGATCTGTCTAATACGGTAGAATAGAAAAAAACCTCGACGATTTGTTCTCCAAGAGCTATAAGTGTGAAGGCAACACTAAAGCATCCTTTATAACAAAACTGCCACTTCGTTCAGATGGCAGCCATTTGTATTTCTTGAAGG